CTTCCCTTGCAAACTCTACATCCTCAATGAATATAGCATTTTCTGTTCCAAATATTATTCTAGTGATATGATTATAATAATTATACCCATAAGAGAGTTCAACGTATCCAATAAAATAAACATTTAATTATCTTTGTGTCTAACATATCTTATAGACCCCGCTTCAGTCGGACATCCCCAAATGGGCAGGTGCCTAATGCTAGGCTTTTCCCAGTCCATGAATCTTAAAAGGGTCTTAGCTACTACTTTACTACGTACTATATTAAGGAAATAAACGGTTGTCTTTAATGCCTCTCCCCTAAATAACTCTGGAAGAGAAGAATGACTAATCATACTCCTCACCATATCCTTAAGAGTCTGATTTCATCGTTCTGCAACTCCATTCATGATGGGTTTTCTCGGCATTGTGTATTGCGGAACAATTCCACACTTATCAAGGAAAATTGAAGAAGGCCCTAAATATTGTTCCCTTGATCCATCATACCGACCATAGTATTCACCATTACGGACATACTTCACAACCTTCATTTTGTTTCTAAGTTGAAGTTCAACGTCAACTTTGAATGACATGAATACGTCCAAATATTGTCATAGTACAAAGCTTTGGAAAACTCTTTCTTCATGTGTTTGACCTTCTTGCAAAAGAAGCAAGAAGAGTCATTTTTCCATTTTCCTTCTTATCTTGAGAAAAATTCTCGCAATCTTCTTCCTTTTATTTTGAGAGCTAGTAATCAAGTGAGCACTTTCAGTCTTCTCTCTCTTTAGTCTTTCTTTCTCTGACACACAGTGAAATATAAGCTCATTAAGAGACCATTTACCCTTTTGAGTATTGTAACTCACTTTGAATTTCCCAAAGTGCACAGAGAGAGAGAGAGAGGGAGAGAGAGAGAGAGAGAGAGAGAGAGAGAGAGAGAGAGAGAGAGATCAAGTGCACATTTAAATCCTCCATAAGCTTTAACTTTAGTGCCTTGAGTTTTGATGTGAGATTAGACATCTCCACGATGTTCTCCTTTATGTTCCCCTTGTCTTTATAACTCATTGAAATGGGTTAATACAAGGTACTACTTGTCTCAACTTTATCATTTTTAGCAAATAATTGTTCCACAATTTACTCTCAACAATCGAACCCCTAAATCATTTCAGGTATGGATCATTTGATCATCATGAGGCACGTCCGGTTAGATTGGTCCCATTTTTCTATTTTAGTTTCATTTGGGTTCTCAGTCGTGGAGGTGGGATGTTATTCCCTCAGGGATAAGTCTATGTCCATGCCTCCAAAAACGATCTCCACATGTTATTTGTAGGACTTAAAGTTCATTCCATTTGAAGTTCGATTGTAAAGAACAACAAACATTCATCAATATTAGTAGGCATGTCAAATAATCATATAGACACGCACAATATTTTTATATGCAAATTAAATAAGACCAGGATAGGATACCAAAAAAATACCATCAATTTCCAATTTTGATTTAAGAATTAACTGTAAGCAGTACTCTCACGTAATGACTAAATTCTAGTAATAAGTCATGTTAATTAATGGACGTCTTTGATATCAATCATTAATCACATGGATAAACTTAAATAATTACTACATATTTATCATCATGGACATTCAATTATTCGACTAAACTGTGTCTTCCCTTTGGTTGACCATAACTAGAGCTGGCAAAACGGACCACCCGGTCTGCTTCGGGTCGGCCCGTGACACATTTATGCCTTTAATGGGTTGGACTTAAAAGTCCGCAATTTAAATGGACTACAATTTAATTGTCCAAACTCAGTCCCTTACGGACCACGATCCAGATTATATTTAATATTAATTTTTTAATTAAAAAATGATTTTTGCAAAAAAAATTTAAATACAAAAAGTTACCATAAACTAAAAAAATAATAAACATATGAGTATTGAGGACTAAAAACAATATAACTTTGAAGATGAATAATAAATTTATGGGTTATTTTTTAACATTGGTGTTGGTACTTTTATTAGTGTTTTGCATTTAAGTAAAGTAATGTATTAGTTAAATGGAGTTGTGTTTTACGTCATTGTGTATTATACCATGAATTAATGAAATGGAGCCGTGTTTTATGTCATCGTGTATTATACCATGAATTAATAAAATAAATATATGTCAATGAATTAATGAAATGTAGTTGTATTTTTTTACTATTGTATGGTGTTTAAGTTCATTATTCACCTTGTTGATCAACATTTCTAAAATCTAGAATAGTTTAAACATATCGTGTTTTATGTCAAATGTGTGAGAGATATTAGGAACATTGATATATAGTGTAAGACTATATCCACCTAAAATCTTAAGGTGATAGATGAGTGAATTCTCTCATTTATATATGCTCAAGTCTCCATATTTTTATTCAATGTGTAACTATTTTCTCACTTATTCACACTTACTATATTATTCAAACAAAATAACATAGTCACGTTATTTTAGTAATGCAACCAAAACTTTGACTTTAACCAAAACTGTTTGAAATGTGGTATGCATACAAATTGGTATCACATTATGTAGTCACATTATTGTGTTTAAGTCACACTATTTTACTCACATTTTTTAAATGTGGTTTTAACCAGAACTGTTTAAAACCAGTTGGCATATCTTGCACTATAGTGTTGACAGTTCAAGAAAGATATAGGAATGAAGAACTATTGTGTGTGGATATAAGAAACAAAATGTTCCATATATTTAATCTATAATGTATTTTATTTATTCCGTTTTCTTATAACTTGATTGATAAATTATAAATCTTAATGAAATAATATTAAATTTAATGAAATAAAGCAATTATGAATGAATTAATATTACGTGAATATAAATGTGTTCAATTTGGATCTACCAAGTTATCCGTACATATCATATATCTTATAAAATTAGATCCAAACTGAAGAGGGATTAAAATCCCAAAAAAAAAACTAAAAAAAACCAAAATCTCTGTTTTTAAAATGGAAAGAATAAAATTCAAAAAATATAAAATAAAAAGACCAAAATTATAATTACACTTAAAAATTAACATGGACTATAGTGTGTTAGAATTTTTGTAAAAAAAAAATTAAATAAATTAAGCGAGTTACCCGTAACCCAATCGAGCTAACCCAGTTAAACATTATATTTTTAATGAGTCGGATTTAAAAGCCCGAATAATAAATAGACTTTAATTTTTCTGTTCAAGCCCAATTTTTTTTGCAGGATTTTGGGCCAACCCAGTTGATCCGGTCTATTTTACTGACTCTAACCATAATAGTTCACATGGATAATTACGTACTAAATCTTTTTGTGATTATGATTTAATTAAATTTACACAATATATGTTACTTTTGAAACTTATTTCAATCAATTAAATTAAAATTATTAGACATTTTTAATTTAATAAATTAAAAATAGAAATTAAAATCTACAAGAAAATTCGAAGGTAAATCCACATGAAATTTAGAGATTTTCTTACTAATTTTCATTTTAAAAATTAAAACTAAATGAAATTCAACATTTAAAAACTTTATCTAAAAAATAAAAAATACAAAGACGAAAATAAAAAAAACACAAACTTACAAAAATCAAAAAACTATTTAAACTTTATTATTATTTTCCCGTAAGAAAGCAAACTACCTTTATACCATTGGTTATAGTATGGCACTGTTGTTACAATATTGTTATCGCACAACTAAAGAAGTCATAGCTTCATGTTTTTAACCATTTTACAATATATAAAAGTGAAAATATAATATAAATTTCAATCGAATATTAATTTCGATACAACAATTTTAATTTATCTCTGATATCATTTATTAAAATTAATTCAATAACGGCCAATTAAATATATATATGTTTAACAAAATATAACATAATTTAGTGTGTAAGTGAAATAGTTATACATGCATGCATGGATACATTTAAGATTAATCTCAAATGTAAAATCATAAAAATGAAAAAAGAGAAATGAAAATATAAAAACAAAATAAATCAAAGATGTATAATCACAAAAATATTTAATTGTGGCATATCAATGAGCAACAAAATAACATGTCATCAAAATCACTCAAACACAAACAATGCGGCGACGAGTTATTGCGGTAGAAATACAATAAGATTTGAAAGAAAAAAAAAAAGAAGGATACATATATTCTTCTTTTAAATTCTATATTTCTGATTTATTCTAGATTATTTTGTTATTGTAAGAGAGTGAATGATTTAGAGTGACAAAAAGAAAGAAGGCTGGAGTGTATTTGGAGGGGATAAAAAAAATCTAAAATTTTATGTAAAAGTATATCCGTTATTATATATGATTGTAATTATTTAACATTGACGCATAACTAATTTGTTTGTTAATAATAATATCTCAAGTTTTATCAACAAATTAATTACTAGGATTTAGAGTTATAAATAATTCCATAAAACTATTCAAAAATTAGAACTACTAGTAACATTTAGCTAACCCACATAATTAGACATGGTCCCATTTTTAAGACAAAAATTTTGACGACATGAACTAGTTTTGTTATGTGAAAACTAATAGATAAAGCCACTAAAAACTTGAATAAATAGAGGGAAAACATTTTAATTAAAAAATGAAGAAAAAAAAATAGTGTGGGGTGAAGAAGATATGCTAGCATTGGAAGGTTAGATAGAAGTTGCAAGTGGGAGATAAGCATAGACGTTGATTAGGAAGAAATGGGTCCCACAGCACGAGACATAAGAGATCTATTCACGGACGGCTGAAATAAACGACGTTAGAATGTATGTATTTACAAATTTAACCCTAGATCCAAAGGCAAGTGGGTTAGTTTGCAATAAAAAAAAGTGTAGTAGAACAGTGTGCGTGTTGTTTGTTCCTTTAAAACCCAACCCTACTCTCATTTCCGCCTTCTCTTTCTTCTTTCTCTGTCTCTTTCTTGGTTTTCCTCTGTTTAGCCATACCAAGTCCATCTTATTCAGAGAGAACATAAAAGAGAAAAAACACAGAGAAAGAAACTTATTTTCAGTATGGCTCAACAAACTAGCACTGGAGATCTGAATCAGAACCCGAGCCAGACTCCGAACCAGAACCAGAACCAGCCACAGCAGTGGGCCCAGCCGCATCAGTATCAGCAGCAATGGATGTCCATGCAATATCCTGCTACTGCTATGGCTATGATGCAGCAGCAGATGATGATGTATCCACAGCATTACATGTCGTATGTTCATCCTCATCATTATCAGCCGCCTCACCAGCAGCAACCCTCGCCGCCGCCGACTACTCAGCCTCATCATGCTCATGCTCATCATCCTCATTATCACCAGCAGCAGCATCAGCACAAACAGCTTTCTCCTGAAGAGATCAGGACGATCTGGCTTGGTGACCTTCATCATTGGATGGACGAGACTTTTCTTCATAACTGCTTTGCTCATACCGGCGAGGTTTACTTTCTTTCTCTTTATTATAATTCTATTTCTTAGATTTGCTTCTTTGCTTTTAATTTAAATAAATCATCTTGATTTATTGCTGGATTTAATTAACCATCACGATTTTGCTTAACCATGATTCACTCTTGAATTTAACTCTAGTTTAAGTTCTTTGATCTTAATTTTAGTGTAGTTTAAGTTCTTTGATTTTTTTTTTTTTTGTGTGTGTGTGTGATTGTTGGACTCTTCAATGGACTAGGGTTGTGAATTTTGATTATGTAAGATGATATATCTTTTTTATATCATTGACATTGCTACAATAAGGGGAATCTAGTTTTGGTACCTAAAGTGGTCCCCTAGACGTTGAATGCTTAAAAATATGACAATTTTGACCAATGTTTTCACTATGTTTGCTAATAAAACCTAGATCTCTTAATTATACACTGAAAATGGGCTGATGAAAATTGTTCTTTTTTGTTCTCTGATGTATTCTAAGATGTTTTCATGTTAAATATGTTAAATACCAATAGGTGACATTGACATCGATGCTCCGACATTTCCGCTTACGGGCATTTACAAATAAATCTTTTCACTTGTTGTTTTCTGATTAGTTTTTTTTTTTCTTCTTCCTATTGTTGTGTTATTGTCTGCGTTGTATGTAGGTTGTATCGGCCAAGGTCATACGTAATAAGCAAACTGGTGTCTCGGAGGGATATGGATTTGTCGAATTCTATTCGCGAGGAACGGCTGAGAAAGTCTTGCAAAACTTTAATGGTGCTATGATGCCAAACACAGATCAGGCGTTTCGTTTGAATTGGGCTACATTCAGCGCTGGCGGCGGTGGTGGTGGTGAAAGGCGTTCTTCTGAGGCTACTTCTGATCTCTCTGTTTTTGTGGGAGATTTAGCCATAGATGTTACTGATGCTATGCTGCAGGAGGTGTTTGCTAGCAGATTCTCATCTATTAAGGGAGCTAAAGTTGTCATTGATTCTAATACTGGTCGTTCAAAAGGCTATGGTTTTGTTAGGTTTGGTGATGAGAATGAAAGGACAAGGGCAATGACTGAAATGAACGGCGTTTATTGTTCTAGCAGGCCTATGCGAGTCGGTGTTGCAACACCCAAAAAAACTTACGGCAATCCACAACAATATTCTTCACAAGGTTTGTTTTCTTTAATGTTGGTTGAATTTGAATATTAACATGTATGATAAATAAATTGTAACTAAGCTTCTCTATTTGTAAGTATGCTTTATGCTTTCAATGATCATAGCCGACTTTTCAATACAAGTCCTGGAAATTGTTGATGCTTAAATATATTTATTCGTATATTAAATATCATATTTGTTACTGCCTTTACGCATTAACCAACAATTTATTTTTTATATGTAACAATTGCTTATAGCAGAATTTTCAATTCATTCGCACAACTTTGTTTCTACTCCTTGCCCGTTTCATGATATACATTGTTCGGTATCTAAATGTCAAATTTGTGTTTTTTAAACCTCAGTCTTATTGAATATTTGTCATAATATGTTAGTAGATTTCTTTTCACTCTAGAGAAACTTGAACGCATAACCAAGCAGAAAAATAATTGTTTATTGTATATATTTTCAAATTTCCTTTTTTACGGTTATAGCACGAGCGAATTATCTCTTTAACGTAGTAATATCACATATCGTGCTTCAAATTAGATATTTAAATAGCTGATTTTTTCTGTCTTAACTAGCTGTAGTGTTGGCTGGCGGTGGTCACTCGTCTAATGGTGCTGTGGCCCAAGGTTCCCAATCTGAAGGGGATTCTAACAACACAACTGTGAGTCTGCTTTTGTATTATTTTTTTTTCCGATATCTTCATATCTACATTTTTTGATATTTCCGTAACAAAAAACTGTTACAGATATTTGTTGGAGGGCTTGATTCTGAAATCAGCGATGAGGATCTCAGACAACCGTTTTTGCAATATGGCGACGTTGTCTCCGTGAAAATTCCAATCGGTAAAGGATGTGGCTTTGTTCAACTTGCTGACAGGTAATTTGTGTACGAAATCCCTAATAATGCCAAATGCTTCCTGCTGTAAAATCATATAACGATAAGGATATGTTATTGAAGGATATTCTGCGAAGATAATATAATTGTGATTACTATTCCCAATATCATTAGTCCCGTCTTATTTTTGCCGTGGTGTATATGCTCTGTTTTAATGCCTTCTGCTCTTTCTGTAACAGAAAGAATGCTGAGGATGCTATTCAGGGATTGAATGGAACAGTGATTGGGAAGCAGACCGTGCGTCTTTCTTGGGGTCGCAGTCCAGGAAATAAGCATGTGAGTTATATTTTCTTCTCCGAACTCAATTTATTGATATCTAAAATCACATTCTCCGCATAATCAGGTCCAGTTTGATGTTTGTGTACTAAATCTTCTAATCTAAATTTTTTTATTGTAAACATTACAGACATGATCAGTGCATCTCTGGATCCCGTCGATACTGATATTCTGTTATTAATTTCTATTATGACTTGAAATCATTCTCTAATTTAATTCCTTGTAATCTGACAGTGGAGGAACAATGACTCGAATGGAAACCATTACGGTGGACAGGGTTATGGTGGCCACGGATACGGAGGCCATGGTTATGCTGCTAGACAGAATCAGGATATAGCAATGCAACAACCTGCTGCTGCAATTCAAGGGGCTTCATAACGGTCATAGCACGAAGCGTCGCACGGTATTGTCGCACGGTATTCAAATAGGATGGACTTTATTGTTCTCATAAGTGGAACTGTAGTGTTATTCTTGAATTTGTAGCTGGGGTTATATTATATGGTACCCAAGGTGGTTATTAAGGATTATATATTTAAATGTCTGAAATTTTGGATTGAACTTGACCATATAATATGGCTCAAGTTATTTTTGTTTTTTTTTTTTAAATCGATATTAGACAGTCATTTTTAAAACTCTCTTTACACGGTATGATGATGTAGCTGATTGCATAAACTTGAAATTGAGTGTAAAGATTGAACAATATAGAAATATTTATTTGATGTTTGTTCTTAAAATTCAAAAACAATTTAAAATTATAGATTAAGGGTATGTTTGATTTGATTTTGTAAAACTGTTTTTTAGTTTTTAAAATTTATAAATAATAAAATTGGTTTAATAGCTTAATTTCTATAAAATTATTTTCTATTTAGGAATAATAGAAACTAAAAAATTAAAACAAAGTTTTTAGAGGTTTTGAGTTTTTGAAATTATAGCGGAAAAAAGGAAGAAAATTGGTATTTTTTTTATTAATGACCAATTTGTTATATTTTATAATTGTAAAATAGTTAAAATGTAAGATAATTAAACTTTTTTTTTTGTTTTTTTTTTCAAAACTATTTAAAAAAATTAATATACAAAATAGTTTTATTAGTTAAAAACTAAAACTCATTCAATTAAATCTTAAATATTTTTTTTATAAGTTAGAAGATAATTTGTTTCTTCTACAAGGTTATCAATGTTAATGAGATATAAGCCAAGTTTAATAAGGTTCTTAGTTTCTTACATCCATTTCATTGCCCTTTTTTCAGAGCATTGTTTATTGACCTAAAAAATATTGAGCTGTATTAATTGAACACTCAAATATTGATACCATATACAAATACAAAAAGAAAGAGAATAGAATAATATAAGATAATACTGTTTATGGAAACGTACAAAAACTAAAAAAAATGTGTAAATCTCATTTCTCATATTAATTTATGATATATACACTGAATTGAGTATAGTTTTGGATTCAATGAATTCTTACCAGACCTATATGCTATGATTTCGTCAATAGGTAAACTACCCAAAATTCTTTGTTAAACTTTTAAATATATAATAAATTTACCATTAATATCAATATTTTAAGAATCTCCTACACTATCTAGATGATTTTATTGATATTGGAACCAAGTTTTTCGATATATATATAATAAAGTTGTATAGATATTAAATTGATTTTTTAACTTAATTTTAGGTTTAGCTGTAAATTACGTTTTGTTAATTACATTAATCCTTTCTATTAAATTTTATCAAAATCTGTTAATTTGCATTGACGTGGCATTCTAACTGGTTCAAAAATAGTTGACATGGAATTATTTTATTAATTTAAACTAATCATAATTTATTAACTCTTTCTCTCTTTTCCTCCATTCACCAAAACTCTAACCGTCTCTCTTCTCCTCTCAAGACAACCCTTTGCTCTATGAATCCAATCTTCCTATTCACCGTCTTCGTATCCCTCACTCCACCGTGTTAGGGTTTGTCAACTCAAAATCAATCTCAAATTCTCCATCTTCCATAGCAGTTGAAGTTTTAGAAGAAGAAGATGACTCAAGACGAAGAGATGAAGGATCACCCAAACTCACTGCTCCGGTTCCCAAAGCTTGAATAGGAGAACTGTAGATGTTATATCCTCAAGACTGTACTTCTATTACTCATACGAGAATTTCATAGAGAGTACAACGGTGTCGGGGGCTCAAGTATTTGTTTAAAGAACCTGGCTTTAGTCATTTAATGGAGGTAACCTTCCTTTAAGAGGGAAAATGTTTATAATTACCTATATCAGTGCAAGAGTTTGCTAAAAATACTAAGACAAGTTTAATAGAAACCTATATATAGTTAGCCTATTCTTATGTACTTCATACAACCTTTGTGTAATGCTTATTTTCACAAGTCATTATATACCTGCATTTCTTATGGTGCCATCAATGAAGTTCTGTTTCTAAATAGATTTTGAGCTAATCAATTTTTCTAAATGTATTACAGGTTGTTTTGGAAGTGTCTCTCGTGGCCTTGTTAAATGAATTATTCACAAAAGTATTCAGGAATTCCTTGTTTGAGTTATCATCCCTTGATCGCTCATCCTTCCTCCTATGTTTCCCAAGAAAAGGTTGATGTGGTATTGTGAGTGTGAGACTTTTTAGCCTGCAATTTTGTGGAGTAGAGATTGAGTGTGAGACTTTTCATGTGAATGGCACTACCTGGTAATGTGATGCATGAAATACTTTTTAATATGTTACTCGCAACTACCTCCACTACAACCTATATGATCAGGCAGAGAAGCTGAGGTCTAAGGCTCCACGATTTGAGGCACGTTCAAACCAGGAAGTATTCAGTTGGAGATGCTTGACTTCCGATGACTCCAAATCAAATCTTGGGCAAGGATCTTGTTGTGCACTTGAGTATACATTAATTTTTGCTAAAAAGCTTACACAAGCCATTAACTCTGATGAAGCTTCAATCAAAGGAGCTTTTAAATCATATGATAGCAAAAGAGAAATATTCACTACTATAAAACGTGCAAACAACAACACCATATTTACAATGGAATCATATACACTCTAGTAATAAATTAAAATTTCCGCGTCCAATGAGTTGCTGGATTTATAAACAGTAATTTAATGACAGTTGTCTTTAAACACGTAGTAAAAAATGATGTGTAGCACACTTCGATTCTTAACAACTATATTTTTTCCATTTTTTAGAGTACATTAAGCGTGTGTCACTTAAGTCCATTATTTAAAAAATAAATTGTAAATGATTTAACAACGGTGAAGTACACCAACCGTTGTTAGAGGACTTAAGTTTCCACTACAGTTGTTTTGTTCAACCACGATTAAAGAGTTTACTGATAAATTAAAATAAAACTTATTTTGTATTTCTTTCATAAGACGTCTTAGGCGAACAAGCGAGCCAGAGACGATAGAGGTGGCATAATCTTTACCCTCTTCGTATCCATTCATCTGGAGTTCAAATCTTCACCATCTCCGTTCATTTGATTCTCCAACTTCGAAGTACGATACTCTTCAACATCTTCATTCCTTTTTTTCTTGGTTTATGTTGTATATGCTCAAATATTCACCTTCTACGTTCATTTCATTCTCCAGCTTCGCAGTACGACACTCTTCAACATCTTCATTCATTTTTTCTTGGTTTATGTTATATATGCTCAAATATTCACCCTCTTTGTTCATTTGATTCTTTAACTTCGAAGCACGATACTCTTCAACATCTTTATTCCTTACGCGCATAAGATTCTTCAGCTTTGAAGTACGATACTCTTCAACATCTTCATTCCTTTTTTCTTTGTTTATGTTGTATATGCTCAAGTCAGTATGAAAGTACTTTTTTATATGCTTTAGGTTTAGATTTGCATATGCATATGCTTTAGTTTTTGGATTACATTTTAGTGTGTCATTCACATTATTATACATGTATCAATTTCAGAAGTTGTTATGGATCGTAGTTGGATAAAAGCCGATAGATTAGGTCCGGTTTATGAGAAAAAAATTCTTGAATTCTTTGAATACACTGATAAACATATTCCTGAAAATAATGGTATCTTTTATTGTCCTTGTGTTGTTTGCGCGAATATCAATAAGGGTACAAAGAAAGAAATATTCCAGCACCCTCGTTGTGATGGTATATGTCAAAATTATATAATATGGACGTGGCATGGTGAGGTGGATAAAAAGGAAAGTCGGGCGTCACAAAGTCAAAGAGTGGATGAAGATGAATATATGGAAGATCAACTAGAGGATATGTTCGTGATATTGGAGAATCTTCTTTTAAGAATGCTCATATTTATGATACTTTATATAGTGATAAAGACACCCCTTTATATAAGGGATGCATAAATTTTACATGATTGTCGGCGACAATAAAGTTGTTTAATCTGAAGGCAAAAAATGGATGGTCAGATAAAAGTTTCACGAAATTACTTGAGTTGCTAAAGCAAATGTTACCAGAAGATAACAAATTGTCGGATTGTTGCTATGAGGCCAAGAAGATATTGTGTCCAATGGGTTTGGAGTATTTTAAAATATATGCATTGTTGTGAGCTGTTAAAAATCTGTTACAGCTGTTAGTTTTTTGGAAAATAGCAGAATTTAACAGCATGGCACTTTAGTTGGTTTTGGTTACTAGTTGTACTATTCTCTCGTGTGTATATATACATTGTTGTAATCCCAATTCAATGTTAATGCCACTTTTGATTCACCAATATTACTCTCTACCCTAATTCTCTCTCTCTCATTTCATCTTTATCAAGTTTCTTTTCACCACTGTTACTACCTTCAAAGCTCTGGTTTTATGTTTTATGTTGTTTTAACATTTGGCATCAAGAGCTCTGATTATTGATCCTAATTCGCTGCAACAATGGCTACCGTTTCCAATGATCGAATTCCCACCAATCTCCCAATTCTTGATTCGAAGAACTACGACAAATGGGCGAAACAAATGAAGGTTTTGTTTGGTTATCAAGAGGTGCTTGAGATCGTCATCAATGGAGTTACACCGTTAGGGGCAGATGCTACCGATGCTCGTAGGGCTACACACAAGGAAGAAAAGAAAAAGGATTACAAAGCCCTATTCTTGATTCACTCTTGTGTTGATAACGATAATTTCGAGAAGGTTGGTGATTGTGAATCCGTGAAGCAAGCATGGGAAATCTTGGAGAAAGCGTATGCCGGTGCCGTCAAAGCGAAGGTGGTAAGGTTACAAACTTACAAACGTCAATTTGAGTTAACGCAAATGGAGGACAAAGAAACGATCAACGATTACATCACGCACATTACCCGGTTAGTCAACCAAATCAAGTCATGTGGCGAAATGATCCTTGAGCAGAATGTTGTATCGAAAGTGTTGCGTTCATTAACATCACGTTTCGATAACAT